TCGTCGAGGATCTGGACGATGAAGCCGCAGACGATGACGTTCGAGGTGCCGTCAGTGACAGCGTGATTAATGCCCAGGAACAGGGAATACCGATGAGGAAATCCTGCAACGCCTTCCCCAAACACAGCGTCGGGTGAGACGTTAAACTCCGGTTTCAGCTTCACGCACCACAAGGGACCTGTCTCTTTGTTGAAGCTGTATTGTTGAATTTTATCGTGTAGATCCGCGTCCTTCGTGTCATCTGGAAGTAACTGATACACTTTTGATCAGTTTTCATACTACATGACAAATGGATATATAGATATTCATATAGGTGCGCGCGCGCGCGTGTGTGTGTGCATATAAATGGGCCAAAACATTCAATTTGCCTGTAATCATTTCGCTTTGTATCATGACTACCTTAGATATCCGTGTACGTATATGTATTTACAGTATACATACATTTGTACCTGCATAAAAATATATAATCAAAATGGTTTACATCATCAGGCCGAATGTGTAATCCACTGAGTAGTGTTTTCGTATGGGTTTGTATATACATACATAATGCCCATATATATATATATATATATATATATATATATATATATATATATATATATATATTGTATGCATCGTTCTGAAGACCCTACCTCATAGTCTATTATCTCCTGTGTCATCTCCCTGATCCATATGTCTCCGTCCCGCTCGCCGAAACACGTCTTCAGAATGGGCACTTTCCTAGAGAGAGAAAAAGGGCTTTGAATTAATTTTCCTGGTGCTAGTAATTTTCTGTGCACGGGAGTTCCTTCTCTAATATTCTTGGGCTCTATTGTTATCAAACTGTGGTGGTTTATAGTTGGCGAAAAGAGGAGCCACATTTGTAGTAGTCGTGATGAAGGTCACTAAAAACTTCCCGAGATGGTGATAAAAAGCTAGGAAGACGAATAGTTAAAGAGGCCTCAAGAAAACCTTATAAATTCTTGACAAACGTCGAAAATAGTTATTTAGTTTGATTTTATATATCTGTTTATGGATAGCTACTGATATAGCACAGCCTGCTTGTTCTTAGCGATAGCAGCGCCGGTCCGACCAATTAACAAATTATGAATTCCAAAACAACTAGAGGTAGCTTTCGTGACGTCACAATAGGCGACTACTGCTGTTTATGGCTGACATAGAATCGATCCATTCAGATAAATATAGAAATTAAGAAGCATATATAATAATCTTATATCTATTACCGTATAAAGGCGTCACCGGCGCATTAGACGAAGAAATATTCAGGGATAAAAAGTGACCGCCCCTTCGTACATGAGACCAGGGTGATTGTTTGAAGTACTTAGAGAGGGGGAATGTCATACATGCTGTCAATTACGGCAGTTCACTCGTTTATTTTCAGTAACCTGCATAGCACGGGAGAGGGGGGGGGTGAAAGAGAGAGAGAAGAGGGGGAGGAGGGAGAGAGGGGACGAGAGATAGAGAGAGAGAGGAGGGGAAGGAGGGAGGGATGATATATATATATATAGAGAGAGAGAGAGAGAAAAAAAAATTGCATCATTTGTTTTCTTTAAGAGATTCCAACACATGACCTCCCATGTTGAATGCAAAATTACCTTTGGCAATGGGTGAGAGCCCGGATGACCTGTTCTTCAAGCAGAGGTTCGCGTGTGACGATGGTGAGCTGGTAACTGATGGCGAAAGGCTCGTAAAATTTCTCGGTCTCCGTTTTCTTCCATAACCACTTTCCTTGCGTCTCCATCCTGGTAAAGACTGAAAGAAAGGAACATTGTATATACAAATAAGTGTGTGTGTGTGTGTGTGTGTGTGTGTGTGTGTGTGTGTGTGTGTGTGTGTGTGTGTGTGTGTGTGTGTGTGTGTGTGTGTGTGTGTGTGTGTGTGTGTGTGTGTGTGTGTGTGTGTGATGAAGGCCAGACCAATCATATTTCTGCTTCACAAAACAAAATAGAAATATGGTGAAATGTTCTTCCCTTTTCACACCTCACACATAGCCTCTCAAAAATAAATCACTTCGACATTTTCTTGAAACAACTTTCGTGAATTATTGCTTCTCGCACACAAAGCTTGTCAAATCATTTTAAATACTACTAAAACCACAAAGCTATATCATACCATATTTTCATAAAGGACTACACTGCACAATTTTCTCGGGACTATTGGATGTCTGTGCTATAATACATTCACTAATTACGGTAACTTTCCTTGTCAATTAGACAAAGTAACCTTCGATGATGGCACTGACATTATACCCTTATGGTACCCCAGTTTAGCTTCTTTCGACCTCATTTGACTTGGTATAGTGATAGTCTTGACGGTGAATGTTGTGATAGCTATGATGTTACTGATGACAAATTAATGACAAATATGTGATAATGATAAAAGTACCACTAGTAATAATGATACTAATAACAATGATAACTAGAGGCACTCAGAGAGCGAGGGTCACGGATGCAATAAAAACATTCACACGAAGAATTACATTAATCGGTAACGTCTTTGTTCCCCTATCACGCAATGTTAATGAATCCTTTTGAAAATTCACCAAAATTTAATGGCATCGTCGGCTGGCTAAGACACACCTCTGGTAAAAGTTTCATGAAAATTTGTTCATTATTTTTTGAGTTATCCAGCTAACTAATCAACGAACAAACCAACGCTACCAAAACATAACCTCTTTGGCGGAGGTAATGAAGATAATAACAGTAATCATTATAGTAGCACTAATGATGATACTAACACTAATGATAATGATAATACTAACAATAATGACATCACCGATAATAATCATACTAATTCTTAAACTTGAAGCTCTTAGACAGCGCCAAGGAAATAGGGTTCCTGATGAAATAAGAATATTCACACTTGAAGAATTACATTAAAGTCTTCTTTTTCTAGTACACTGGAGACATCCGTAAACATAACTTCCTTGGCGAAGATGATAAAGGTATTGATGATAATAATAGTTACAGATGCAATCATTCAAAAATCAGTTTCAAAATCAAAAGGAAGCAGACCAAATCAGAGGTAATTCTTGACATGGTTATGTAATGTCTGCAAGTCTGATGTAGAAGAGGAAACTGTGTCATGTGATTCTTGCTTAAACTGGTAACATTTCCAATGTGCCTCTGTAAAGAAGGCACCAAGAGCAAAATTCTGGTTTTGTAGAAAATGTTATTCAAGCATGAGATTTATTTTATAATCAAAAAAGTTTATCTGCTGTCAGTTCCGAAACTGCATTACACTCAAACTCAAAATGTTGCAAAATAAGTCTCCGCAAAAGTTATTTCGAAAGGTTTTGATTTGATTAAATTCCTTGCTATATTGTGGTTTCGTTTGTTTATATCTATGTATTTTTATAAGGCTGTTTTTCGGCTGCATGTTTTTAATTAAAAGATCTCACTAGAAAAAATTGCACTTTTTATTGTCTCGCTGAGAGTTGTAGAACAAAATTATGGCATTGACTATCAACTGTTTTTGTTAATAGAAAACAACCAGCCATTCGTATATATTCTTTATATACTTAACTGGATTTTAGAACCTGCTACCCATGTGCCTATCGACAAATTAATTGAAACGCTGGTCGTATTTGTGAATAACAGTAAGAAAAAGACCCAGTAACTGACCTGTCAGTCGTGGCGACGATAGAACTCTAACATTGGTAGAAGAAATACATAATATGATTGAACTAATATCTCACCCTACCAAGCAGAGCTTTTTCAGAGTTTAACAAAAATGAGAAGATTGTCGGCAAATTGGCAAGTAAGCCACACCCAACTACGCCCATTTTATCGGCAAAAATTTGGTCCACACCCCCTTCGCATTTTATGTATAGAGATGTCCCTGCCCCGCCCCTCTATTGATAAGACTCTTGTATATGTAACTTCACAACGCCCTGGTCTCTTCTCGTCTCCTCAAGTCCACTTCAGTAGTTTATAGGCACGAAAAATTACAGAATAGGGATGAAAATCATAGAAATGTCAAACTGTAGCAAAGCATGTATGTCCACTAGGTCCTGAGAATAATTTATGATGTGCGCCCCTGCCGGAAAAAATAGCTCTTCAGTGCAGGCTTCCGACAAAAAACGCCGGAAAAATATCCCAGCAGAGTCTCGATCCGCCTATGAATATTGCGTGAAATGACAGACAGAATTACTGACTGTGCGCAAGCGCGAGTGTATGCTAAAATCTCATAAAATCCGGTGCCGGATTTGCCTGGGAATATTTATTGGGTGGGGCCTCACATGATTCTAACAAACCGGTCGTTTGGGACTATTACCATTCTTACCTATAGGGCTTTTATGTCTTACTCCAACGGCAGCTGACGGGCCACTAACTATTCCTTCAGCTTCAGAGGCAATGATAGTCTTTCGTTTTGTTCTTAATGCATCGTTCTTTTTTCAGTTCTTAAAGGCAAAATGTAGTGAACATTGACTGAAGTGAACGAAAGCGGGATGATGTTTTGACTACATTTTTTTTTTTTTTTTTTTGTGGTTGAACAGTGTACTGTGTGTGTGTGTGTGTGTGTGTGTGTGTGTGTGTGTGTGTGTGTGTGTGTGTGTGTGTGTGTGTGTGTGTGTGCGCTTGCGTGCTTGTACGTACGGGTACAATGTGTATTCGACTTGAATATTATATGACATAATGCCTAGGTCGATGAATCAAACAGAAATACTAAAGTAGATAATGAGAGTTACGACTTCTTTTCTTTTTTTTTTTTTTTTAGATCAAGAAATTGAATTTTGGTACGAGTTGAAATTGCAGTGCAAGCAAACTTGAATAGCAACAGCAAGCAAAAAGTAACATCAGTTTGGAAGACGTTAGATACGACCTTGAATGCTGAATGCATTTCTCTCCCCCCCCCCTCTCTCTCTCTCTCTCTCTCTCTCTCTCTCTCTCTCTCTCTCTCTCTCTCTCTCTCTCTCTCTCTCTCTCTCTCTCTCTCTCTCTCTCTCTCTCTCTCTCTCTCTCTCTCTCCCTGCCTACCTTTACCTCTCTCTCTCTCTCATACACATCCATATGTAACTATAAGTACATACATATATCAATTTCTCTCTCTCTCTCTCTCTCTCTCTCTCTCTCTCTCTCTCTCTCTCTCTCTCTCTCTCTCTCTCTCTCTCTCTCTCTCTCTCTCTCTCTCTCTCAAGCCAATTTGCATAAGATCCCGTTACATAGAAGTAATTGCATACACCATAGGCTGAAAAAACTATCAAAATATTTCTTTCAACGTGAAAGTTTCTGAATTCGAAAACTATCGAATTCTCGATGTAGGATTCATTTCTAAACAGAAAATGTGATGACCTTCTTATCTCCATATTCCTTACAATTGAAGGATAGGAGGCGATAAGTATGTGTGAAATACAAATAATATGTAGTTTAATATAAATCATTGTGATATGTAAACTCAGATTTACTGTACAAGTGAAATTTAAGCATATGACAAGTAATAGCGACGAATGTAAGAAGTAACAAACTATTGTTTTGATTTTCTTGAGTGCAAATCAGTGATAATGTTCGTGTTAAATGGTAGCTTGAGACTCTCGAGGGTTACTTCACTTGGGAAATCCCGTACACCCTACCTGGAAATCTGGAAAAAAATATGGAAATCCTCAAGAAATTCTTTGAAAGTCAGCAAAACTGCAGGGAATCCCAAGAATCCTTAAATATCGCAAATTTCCATTCGCAGCAATCTTTTTACAAAATATTGGTAATAGTACTTAAGATGTCTTTAAAAATTGGTAAAAAAAAATATAGAACTGCAAAACCGTGTCGCGATTATATATATATATATATATATATATATATATATATATATATATATATATATATTAATATATATATATATATATATATATAATTTGTGATTATCCTGTTGGGCTTTTTAGTCCCAACCAGTACTACGGAATTCCTTTTTTGGGAAAGCAACCTTTTTTTAAATAAAACAAAAAATGCCGAAGAAGCGATTACGCACAAGTCAAGTAATAAGGTTTAAGCGCGGTCTTGGTAAAGCATCATAATAATAATCGTAGCTGCAGGATGTAGTTTATTTTAATCCCCTAGTGTCTATTCTCGATTTTTTTTTTTTTTTTTTTTTTTTTTTTTTTTTTTTTTTTTTTTTTTTAGAAAGAAGATTGCTCCTTTTAAAATGCTTAAATTCCCAAGTAACGGTGGCTATCTCTGGAAGTGAGTTGGTTCAAACGACACTCAAGTAGTTAATCCATCATAAGAAGAAAACGAAAAATCATGAATTTTTTGTCTGAAGGGCTGCAGTAACCTGTAAGCAGCGTCATGCTATATGGTGAGGTAGAGCATTTCATGTGGAATCTGTAAGGTAACAACTGATAACAGCTTATTTTTTAAACATTTGCGATGATTTAATGGTTTGCTTCTATCTATCTATCTTTGTATCTCTCTCTCTCTCTCTCTCTCTCTCTCTCTCTCTCTCTCTCTCTCTCTCTCTCTCTCTCTCTCTCTCTCTCTCTCTCTCTCTCTCATATGCACACACACTCAAGGTTATAGTTAGATTACGTAATCACAGAGACGATGTGCATTTTTCCTAGTGTCGTGTACTGCATTAAAGTCAGTCAGCCACTCTCTCTCTCTATCTGTCTATCTATCTCACTCGCTCACTCTGCCTCTCCATTCTTCAATCAGATTCATCCATTTCAATACTTTGACAAATATTCCATTTTGTTCCCCAAGCCCTCCACATTTCCTCTTTCGCTCGATTCAATAAAAGGAGTTTGTGAGTTGCATCGGCGTACATTCCACATATACATATATGCGAAGATCTATTTATAAAGTAATGCATTCATTTTTTTATTCTTATTAATTGGCATGAAAAGGTGAAACAAAATCTCTTCCTAGATGTGATAAATGAAAAATTAGTCTATGCTTCCACATACGAAACCAGCTGTTTTAACCAATAGCCTCAGTCTAAGCAAACGTTTTCATCCTCGAGATTTTTAATTGATAATCTTACGAGCATAAATCCGAGTATATCCCAGTATTTCAGAAATGATAATTTTAATTCATTTTCTCGCTTCGTTTAACAATGGTCGGCAACACTTTTACTACAGAATCGCCTTTGTAATACTTGCTACAGAAAGGTTTATTCTACAAATACCTCACCTCCTCCAAAGAGACCTTTCTTATTTTGCCTACGCTGATTTTCCTCGTGTGTTTGAGTACCAAAACAACTCATTAATATATATGAATGTTGCATATCATAATATTCTACGGATGCGTGCCGAGCGTCAGACAGTTGCGTTGTTTAGGAGATTGTGAAGAGAATTATACGAGTTATATTGTAGTGATAAATGACGCAACATGAACCCCTTTGAATAACCATTGACACGGACCTAGATATTAATTTCTATGCTAGGAAGTGAGGCGTCTAGAAAAAGGTAAACGAACCTAGATGTCCATTTCTGTTAGAAAGTGAGAGGCGTTTTAGAAGAGGATGAAGAACCTAGATGCTAATTTCTATGTTAAAACGTGAGAGCCGTCAAGAAAAACGTGAACAAAGCAAGTTGTTAAATATGTTAAAAGAGGGTAAATTAACCCAGTGCTATTTTTTATGCCTGAAAGTGAGATGCGTTTAGAAAAAAGTAAACGAACCTAGATGTTAATTCCCATGTTAGAAAATGAGATGTAGAAAAGGGTAAACACAGCTAAAGAGTCAATGTGTAGGCGTATTAAAATGGACCATAACAAGGTTCAAGGGTTGGTATTTTGGTTAGCATAGTTATGCCCCAAATCAACTGCGTGTTGCCCTGATAAAAGGAATAAATGTATGGGTTTTAAGATTGTAGTATGCCAACTTCAGAATCCGGAATACAAGAATCATTAAAGAATTACTCCTAGAAAAAATAATCTTTCATCATATGGACACTTCCATTTAACTTGAGTGACTTTTAGGTATGAAGCTTTCATGATTTTTTAAAATCATTTCAAATTCATTTAATTTTATTTCTTTTGTCATTCATCTTAATTCTTTAGATTAATCTTCCATGGAAATACTTTTGGTCTTCATGCCATCTAAAATCTTCGTCATTCTAATTTGTTATGTTAACTGAAGGGATAAGTCATATAATTTTAATTTCACTTTAATTTATTGTTTAAGCAAGACATATATCTTGATCTTATCTCAGTTACTTTCTGTTTTTTACTGAGGGAGTGTACATTGTGTAAACTTTTATTTTACATCTATTAGGAACATCTTGGGATATAATAAAACAGATACATAAAAAGAACCCGAAAAGTTTAAAAGTTCACTATGATAAAAATCACTTTAAAACACTTTTAAAAGTCTAAAGAAAGAAACAATCCAAAATCAGAAAATCGTCTCAAAACGCAAAGTTAAAATATAAAGGAAAACGTAGAAGGAGCATTACTTAAATCTGCAAAGATGAACCCATCTAATTGTAAGGGAAGTGGAGCAAAATTATTCTATCTTACCGCCTTAGAACTTATCCTTACAACCAAACTACAATATATATATATATATATATATATATATATATATATATATATATATATATATATTCAATGATAATAATAATAATAAAATCTCTTTACTCCAATGCCGGGTCTACACAACAGAGGTAAACACCTTTAGCAAGCAAGCAAATAAGGCAAATCTCGGGTCAAAAAAGGTCAATATTATAGTTATGTCAATAGATGGCGGTATCTCCCCCTTCCCACTGTTAAGTCCGCTTGATTTTGTTTACATGAACTTATTCTTAATGAGTTTTGGGTTAATGTTGAACTGAGAAATCTTTAAACTATAAAATGAATAGGTTATGTGTGCTTGCTTGCCCCAGAGTAAAAGAAAACTAGAATAAAAAAAAAGTAATACAATAATTGCTATACGTAAAAAGGGGTAAAACCAATAGCAATATATCAATAATTTCCCCAGCTTTTATGAAGGTCTCAACAACCGGGGTACCGAAATAGCGTCTCGTGGGTCCTTTCATTCGTACAAGATATGCTCCAAATTATAAGGGTTCACTTCAACATCACACGTTCTAATTCTTGCGAGTGATGATTATACGTAGAGACAGATGTATGGACAGATACATATATAGATAAACACGCACTCACGATTATATGTATCTTTTCATTAACCCGTTTGCGAATCTACGTCTATCTTTTACCTGTCACCACAAAATTACACATATATTTTAAAGTGATGCGTGAAGATGATGCAGAATCCTTTCAGAAAACTTTTCCGCCATTTGTGAAGTGAGAAACGACGTGTTGTAGACAAGGGCATTCGTGAGACAGCCACGGAAAGTATGCATGAAATGTATGGACGGAGAAGGGACGCCGTGGACGGCCGCTGTTCTGAGGATGTGGACGGCCTGCACGTGGTCACCGCCCTCCGTCACCTTCTTCGTCACGTCGCCCATATTGGTGACGCAGAACTCGAACTCAAACCAGGGATCGAAGTCAGGATGCTTGGGCACGAGCTCCTTCACCACCTCCTCTTTCAAAGGCGTCCCGCTTCTGATTTTCCGCTGGAGTTCCTCGTGCACGGACCTGGCGTAGTTCCAAATGCCTTCCCCTGCGTCCCGCGGCGTCTTCACCACCGCTATCATGAACGGCAGGAGGTGACAGCCAAGGTACTTCGATGTGTCCTCCTCCCAGTAGCGACGGGCGTTAAGGACGTGGGCGCTGCGGATGCTGTACGAGTCCTTAGCAAAGCCCCCGTCCACTAGGAGGTCCACCATCGCAAGGCTGGCGATGGCTGTGTAAGCGGAGTTGACGGTGACGCCCTCGGCTCGGCAACGCTTGATGAAGGCGGCGGTAGTTTCTGCGTCCCAGTTCTGTGTCAGTATGACTGACCTTCCTTCTTTCTCTCCGACTCCCTTGAAGACTGAGTTGATGTACGAGCGCCTTTCCTTGAGAGCCTGGTAGTCTTTCAGCAACCTGTCCTTTAGTTCAGGATCTGTTTCTAAAACAGCTTCTTGTTCTTTTATTAATGATTTCGTCTTTTCGTCCGG